TCCTGAGGGCTGGGATGGGTGAGAAGAATCAAGCAAGATAAGGAGTGTAGACTTGACAGTTCCATGACAGGGTACCACCAGATAGGTACAAAACTTGACGCTTGCTTCGGAGACGCATCGATGATGCAGCGTGGAGGCTCCTGCTAAGACCACTAGGTAGTAGAAACTATACTGCGCCTGTCTTTGTAGATTAAACAACAAGTTCGTTCACTGTGTTGCTGCTCTGGGAGAATAGGAAACCGGATCTGGTTCCGATAGCGTGACGTTAACTTAGCGCGATCTGCACCCTAGCGCCAAATCGAGCTTTCGCGTCTGGCAAGTGCATGCACAAGCTTCACGACTCCATTACCAGCGAGCTGTCCGCCCTCTGATTAACGCTACGACGCCAATTACCATCTCACCAGGAACTGATACCTCCCAGGTTGACTGAGAAGATTTGACGTCGTAAGTGAGCGAAAGATTCGTCATCACTCCGATCGTCAGACGACCGTCTCAAGTCTTGCGCAGCCAAACATTTCATACTTCGGCTTCTCATCTTGATAATCGATCCAAACCAGAATTACCTGCCTCAAAATTAATTGAAAAGCTCACAATTACCATTATCAAATCGTGTCAGCCATCATGGTCAGCGCCACCTTCTACGTCATGGCCATACTCGGACTGTCACTGTCTTTTCTTGCTAGCACCTGTGCGCTGTGCTATATTCTCGGTGTATTTCCGCTTCTGAGGGAGCTCTCCAATAAGGAAAAACTTCGCCGCGCAGAGAAGGCCAAGATCAGACCTGAAGAAATAGAGCTAGAGTCTACACCCGATATACAACGACGAGCACGAGAGCGCAGAAGATTGGAAGAGAACAAGAGACGGCAGAGGAATAAGATGCGAAGAGAAGCAGGGTTTTACGAAGAATTGGGAGCGGCTTATCGAAGGTCATGAGATCGGCGAGCTGATGAGCATGGTGAGAAGAGGATGTGAAAACAATCGCGATTGTGATTGTCTTCGTTTGTAACTCATCAAACGCCCGTCCACGTTCGCCACCATTGGCCGCATCCCGATACCTGCCGAGGCATCATATTGCCATACGGACACGTTAACTCCCTCTATTACTACATAACACGCGCTCGAAAAAATCAACAATGCCCTCACTCTACCTAAGCGCTCGCTCTCGTCAAGATGCCATGGATCGATCGGTCGCATGGGCAATCGTTGCCGTTGCTGCCATTATCCTCTTGCAGGTGATAACGGTTGTCACTGCTCTCTGGCTCCTAGCAGTGCGTCGTGAGACGCGGTGGAGGACGCTTCGTGAGAGTGGCGTGGTGATTGTGGATGGTCCTGCGCTTGTCTGGGTGGGCGACCTTCCACCTCGGCCCACGCTTTCTACTTTCAACTTGCGCGACAGCCTACATCAACCCAAACAGTGGAACTCACTGCAGGATCGATGATGCAACTCTGGCAACCATGTCTGCGGGCCCACGGCAGCAACGCACGATTTGAGGTGGCCGGGTAACTGGCGGCTCCACGCCCGCCTCCCAGCTTTACTCCTCCTTATCAACCCAGCTTTTACACTCCAGGTCTTACCGAGCTTCATTTTTCTCGCACAAGAATCACCACTATCCACATCTTACTCCAAAGTTTCATCCTCCTCAGCTCCATTCATGATGCCAAGCAACAAGAACTCTGGCGGTTACAATGTCACGAGCTCCGGTACCAACAGCCAGGGCAACCACTACTGTTCTCGTGACTATGGCTCCAGCGCGTCAAACCAGAACAGCTACCACTACTCCAACACGTAAGTCACCTCAAGGATTTGATGAAACACGAGCTCATGCAAGATGCAGCAATGGCTCGTACTACTACTCCAACCCCAATGGATCCACTTACCACAACAACGGTCAGGGTGGATCCACGTACACCGCGCCTGGAAAGAAATAGGCCCCGTGCAGGACGACGCACGTGATTATGGTTGGTGGGCTCCGATACACATGCTCCGAGATGCATTATCTTGAACAGTTCAGTAGTCCAATACACTGCTACATGACTCGCCTATCCCGCGCTATGAGCCATCTACCTCCGTGACTACCACGAGCGTACCATATGTGATCACCAGTTGGCCAGCAAGCCAGGTAACCCTCACCTTCAAGTTAACCACCGTCTAATTCATGCAAGTCAAACGCATTCGCTCAATCTCATCCACTGACTTACTGTCGACGTCCTAGTCCTGCAGGAACCATACCCTCAAATGTCGCATGCCAGGAATCTGTATCACACTGATGCGCGTAATTCATTTGCATGGGCGTTTTGCTTTAAACTCCCAATTCTAGTGCATGCTATCTAGAAAATACGCTCTGCACGACACTACCAAGATTCCTCAGGGGCTTGCAGACTTGCGAATGCCTCTTATCCGCCATGAGTTCTCCACGGTGATAGCGCAGAAAGGACTACATGTCACCGAACCATATAAGCTTCGTCCTTTAGGATAAGACTCTCCCTTTCTGGTTCAGGTTCTGACATGGGATTTGCCATGGGCGGCAATCATGGAGATCCGCAGATCGAGCGTTGGCCGTGACAAGATGAGTAGGTTTGAAGAAAGTTTACGTGGTCGTCAGATGTGATTTCCAAAGTATGAGCAAATCGGAAGAAGACGTGAGTTCAGAATCCGGCGCAGTCCACGTCTTCAAGCATATCTACGATACAACGATTGACTAGGGGTGTTGCTATACTCTAGGGACCAACAATGCCAACATAGACCTCGATATATTATGTTTGTACCCCTGAGTAAAGTCCTGAGAGATCATGTTGGACCTCATAGTTTCATTTTAGATTCGAAGAATGAGACTCAAGACTCTTCCCAATATATGTGCTACTCAACACGACCTTACGCGTGACAAATGTGTGATTTGAATTCACAAAACAGCTTCAATTCATGATTATTTGTCTAGGCACTGATTGATGCCCTAGAAGAATGACAAATACATCTTTTGATTTGCTAAAATAACCATGGGTGTCGGAGAAAAGACGTTCGCCTCAGCACTAATTTATGTGGAAGATATTGAGGTCGTACTGTTAAGTGATGAGGTGGAAAGCCTGCACATCTTCGACATTGTTTAGTCGATTTCCTATTATGCTCCTCTGATTCCAACTTCCAATTTCGATATGTACATGTGGGCTACTTATAATTGCACAAATCTTAGTCCACCATGTTACACTTCATATCTTTTACAGGCTATTCCCGTAGAATTATAACGCGCTTTGCCGCCCTCAAGGCAAGACCGGACACTTTTGACATAGGATTGATCATTTGAAGGATACCTAGGTAATGCATAAAGATCCAAACAGTCCTCGAAATTTACACGGAGTATGTTTGGGTATAGTGTCACGATCTGAGCGGTCTCATAAAATCTTGCCAAGGGAGTCACAGCTCACATAGAATCTCGATGGCTAGTATAGATTAGCAAGGTATGCTAGTCCGGGTCCATTACGATTACCAAAAGCTACGCAAAGGACGAACAGCAGGGCAGTGCTTCCGCATCACATTCCGCTTCATGAAAGGCAACCGAGACGCTTACACTCAGCACTTCACCGAGCGGCAGAAGACCTTCCTGTTCCTCCCAGAAACCTCGCACCGGCTGGAGCTGGATCTTACACTGGTTTTGCTTGGGTTGGCGTTGCACCGTGGGCTCTTTCCTGGAGGCCTCGAGTATATCACTACTACAAAGGATATGTTCCTCAAGGTTGATGTTAAAGTCAACGCTCAGGCTGTATTTATTGCTTGTGATCAGGCTGAACGAACACTCCCAGATACCCCGTTGAATTTCAACGCGTTTAATCCTAAGCTACAGACGATATGCCTAGAGGCTGGCTTACCTGAGCGAAATACTATGTATTGCTCCAGACGTATACGCATCATTGAGATGAAGCGTGGGTTCAGTCTTGAGCTTGCAAAGGACGTCGCCGGTCACAGGCTCGACTCGTACGCGCACGAGATGCACGCATCGAACAAAGCGCAATGAATCACGAATCAATTATCTTGACAAGGCCTCTGCAAGAGCGAAAATGATGCAAGAGTCGCCGGCGGTCGACCGGTATATTGCGTAGGTGTAGAAAGAAGAATCCGGTAGAGGAGTGAATAGAGCTGGCCCACGATGGAGCTCGCTTTTCCAACACATCTCCAACTCGTAGACTAGGATGCGCCGCCCATTGTAGCCTTTATTGCGCACTATCGCGCGCAGAAAGCGACAAAAGGACATTTTGTATAATCTACAATACAGTACGATTATACACACTACTGTCTGGCTATCAGCTGTCAGACTCTCAATACGGTATGCTCTTATCAAAAGTCAAAGTTCCTAGATTGTGCGCATCAAAAGTAACTTTTAGTTGTGGAGGGACAACTTCAAAAAGGCAAGAGCCGCCTAGGTCGCGCATGCCTCGAGTTTGACATAGTCATAAACTACACCCACATTCTCATCCACAACCACCACGAGAGCATTCCACAACCAAAAAAGATGATTCAAGATGCAAAAGATAGCTAAAATGGAGGAGCGGGTGATCGAAACCCGGGCCTTGAACCTGGCACAGCCTTCAGGCAGTCGCCCCATCCCTTGGCGGGGCGTGGGTCCGAGCGCAGCGAGGCCCATGCTTGCCACGGGATAGGTGCGACTGCCGCGCGCTCTTGTGCAGAATAATGCGGAGCTGTGTACACTTATAAATAATTACCCTAGTATTTTTTACAAAGCAATGCGAGCATTATTAAAACCCGGGCTTTAAACCTGGCCTAGTAAACCTGGCCTAGTAAACCTGGCCTAGCCTTTAGAACATGTATTGTGGTGTCTAAATTAGCACTTCTATGTAGCTACTTAGTTTATTCTAATAGTAATCTAAAAGAAAATATTAGACGTGTGATAAATGTACTAGTAGCATATTAGCCTGTTCTTTCTTTATATTATTTAACGCGCGTTCTTTAACTAGATAGATTATAAAAAAAAAAGATTGGCAAAAAGAAATGGAGAAGCAGATAGTCGAAATCTGGGCCTCCCGCAAGACATGTCATGCAAAGCGGGCGCTCTACCACTGAGCTACATCCCCGATGCTACAGTATCGTGTACTGAAGATGGGATCAAGAAAAATTATATATTTTATATAATTTATTGTCACTTAGATCTTTCTGCATATGTGTCTTATCAACCCTTCGTCATGCAACATTCGTTTTGTCGAATCCAATTGTGGGGCCCTTCACAAGCGTGACATGGCCGCGGCCTACGTACCAAACCACAGCCACATCCTAGCGCGCCCGGACAAACCCCCATCATCAACATCCCCAAGACATGTTGCGCAACATCTGACAATCACAAGACGACACCTATTCACTTCCATCGCTAAAACCAACATTGTCGCACAACACCCCTTACCTCACCACTGGCCTGCATAAATCAAGGGACATATTCTATACCCAATCGACCGCGCGTCGTCTATCGCGTTCCCGCAAGCTGTCCATAGCTGCATACATCACAACATATAGACAACCAATTGTCTCTGCGACAACAAACGACGTCACGATGGGATCACTAGGCACATATTTTCTCGACGTCGTGTATTCATTCACAAACTGCATGGTCTGCTTCCCCAGCTCTCCGCAGCTCAAGATAAATAGTCGGAGTTTCAAGATCCTACGACTACTGGGCGAGGTAAGACGGATACTCTGCGCGGTCACATACACACCTCCTGCAAACATGGACGACTAATCACAACAACAGGGCGGCTTCTCCTACGTCTACCTCGTCCAAGACAACTCGAACCAACAACTTCTCGCCCTGAAAAAGATACGCTGTCCCTTTGGCCAAGAAAGCGTCTCCCTCGCGCTCAAAGAAGTAGAAGCCTACACCCTCTTCTCCCCGCACCCAAACATCATCCACTCCATCGACTACTCCGTCGAAACCGACAAATCAGACGCCTCGGCAAAAACAGTCTACATCCTCCTCCCCTACTACCGCCGCGGAAACCTGCAAGACATGATCAACGCGAATCTCGTCAACCACACAAAGTTCCCAGAGCGAAGACTCATGCTGTTGTTTCTAGGCGTGTGCAAAGCGCTCAAGGCAATGCACCAGTATAAAATCAAGGGTGGGCCCGGCGGCGCAAAGAGCGAGGGCAAGGCGAAGAAAGTGCGCCGCGATGCGAAGCGCGCAGATGCAGAGGCGGCAGAGAGCATGGAAATGCGACCGAGTCGGCGCCACCACGAGCACGACGACGACGACGAGCAGGAAGCAGAAGGGCTACTCGAGGATTCGGAAGTCACAGCCGCGCATGATGGGATTGCGCCGGGCGGACAGCGCGCATATGCGCATCGCGATATTAAACCTGGTTCGTTGTCTACTGTGACCATCCATGCGCCGAGAGACTTGTGCTGATTTCTGGTGTAATACAAAACAGGCAACATTATGATTGACGACGATGGTCAAACCCCAATCCTCATGGATCTGGGCTCCCTCGCTCCATCCCCTACACCAATAACCTCGCGCTCCCTCGCGCTCCAAGTCCAAGACACAGCAGCCGAACACTCGACAATGCCATACCGCGCCCCGGAACTCTTCGACGTAAAAACCGGCTCAGTAATCGACACAAAAGTCGACATTTGGTCGCTGGGCTGCACGCTCTACGCTTGTCTCGTTGGTAAGAGTCCATTCGAGGCGCGGTCAGATGAGACGGGTGGAAGTCTGAGTATTTGCGTGCTTGGTGGTGATTGGAGGTTTCCGGATGAGGGTATGCAGAGGGGGAAGCAAAAGGTTAATCCCGAGGAGGCGATTACGGAGAGCGTGAAGGAGGTTGTGAGGAAGTGTTTGAGGTTGGAGCCCGGGGAGAGGCCGGATGTAGATGAGTTGATAGGGATTGTGGAGGAGGTTATAAAGACGTTGCCCGAGGATGAGGAGGGAAATTGAGGTGGAGGGAGGGGTGGTGATGAAGTGTATGATGTACTTGTCGTATGAGCGATACAAAGGGGACTTTTTTTCTCTCCGAGGGATGGCACTGTTGTCCATATACCGCATGAATTATACCCAACTTGTTCAAACACGACTTCAAGCTTTTCCCAAACAATCACGAACCTACACTAAACATAAACCAACCTCCCCTCTCTCAAGGCCGCATATTCTGCGCCATCGCATCAACCCCAAAGTCAATCTCCCCATCCAACACCGTCAAGAAATCCTTGTCCCCAAACCCCTCCACCTTCTTGAGCGAACTCAGCGTCTTCTCCGTCTTCTCACATTCACCATACCACCTGCGTTCGAAATTATACTCGTCATCAGAAGTACTGGGAAGAATCGCCCACTCAGGCAAAGCACACGTTTCCTTCTCCCCACGCTTATACCACCAGAACCGCTCTTTCCCATCTTTGCCACGCCAGTGCTCGCGATTCCACCCGTGCTTGAGCGGAGAATGCGTATCCCATCCGTGCACGAGACTGCGGTGATAAACAATGGGATGGATGTACTCATTCGTATGTCCCCGTTCTACTAGCGGCGTCCATTTAAACTCTCCAGCCTGGTCGTTGTACTCCTCGACACGCTCATGGCCCGGCTGTCGTGTATGCGTACCGTTCAGATGATACATTGTGGTGAAGGAGTCGACCAGCGGCCCTGTGCCCCATCCAAAATCGAATTCAGGATGCGTGTGTGGGGGGTCGCGTTTTGGGGGTGCAAGCGCGCTGGGTCCCGGGTAGAGGATGGGGATGTGAGGAGGTTTTGGGATGAAACTCCATGCCCATTCGCCCCAGCCTTGGTGGTGGTAGGTGCATGCGTAGCGTATGCGGAACAGCCAGCGCTTGTATTGGGCAAGGTAGGCTTCGAAGGCTTTGCGATCAATGGTCAGGTGGGGGGATATGCATTGGAGCATCCAGCATAATGTTGCAGTGGAGATGTCTAGTGCATGTCAATACAAGTTCATCATTCATCTTTGTTATTAGTACGTACTCTCAGCATCACCCTTCATCGTAGAAAGGGTATCGGTGGACCCGCCTCCGATATTGGTGTGAGCGCCAGGGAACTGACAAAGGTTAGTATTCAGCTTGTGTGAAATATCTCCCACTTGTGTGATTGCATACCCAGACTTGCTTCAGCTCAGGAGTTGGCCGGCGTGGGTCTTGAACAATCTCGTCGGGAATGTACCAGAGAGTCGGTCGAAACGCACGGCGTCGCTCGTCCAAAGCCAAAGCGTGAAAAGCATGTTCGATATCTGCATCGTGTCAATGGTCCATCTGATTGAAATCAGGGGCCTCAACTTACGTTCTGTCAGTTTGACATTGTGGAAACCATATTGTGATCGTTCTTTGGCAAGATTCAGACCAGCTATGTCCGGAATCCCTAGACTCCCGACAGTATCAAACACCCCAACTACCTTGACCTTTTGACTGTTTGGTAGTGCAAGATGCCGATGTGGACGTATCTCCCAGACTTCTGCACTTTGCTGCAATTCGACTTCCGTCCAGGTACCGTCATCTTGTGCAACGCTTTCAACAGAGAATCCCTGGGCTTTGCGCTCTTCTCCAGCCTTGCTGAGCTTACCGTTGACAAACCAATCCCAATACTTGGTCTTGCGGAAGTCGTCTCCCTCGTCGTTCGTCATGTAAAGTCGGTACAGTTCGGGGAAGAAGTGCATATCGGTCGGATTAATGATGCCAACATCTCCAACAAGCCCTGCAACTGCTCGCGCAGTATACGCGCCTCTCGAGAAGCCAAAACAAAAGATCTCGTCTCCTTCTTCGAAATTTTGTACAATGAAATTGTAGGCTTCGATGACGTTTTCTGCTAGGCCAGCTCCCGTGCCACCCTGTAGCCTCGCTTCAGAGGCACTCAATGCCCCTGTTCCAATTCCGGAATCATAGTAGACAATCTGTTGAAACTTTTTCGAGGGATCGTCTTTGTCGTGTCCAACGCGTGCAATGAGACGGCATAGTTTGGTGACGTTTGATGGAGCACTCTCCTTGAGACTGACGCTCGACTGCCAGGTGCCATCACAGCACACGACCAGGCGGCGACCCCAGGATTTGGTGGGGTCCATCTTGAAGGTAGGATGTATTGCAGAGTAAGACCAAGAATTCGATTGTGAGGATAAATGTTCCAGAAGACGCAAAAGCAGCGTTGTTCAGCTGATATAAAAGCAGAACTTTGTACCATGTGGCTGAAGACGGCTGTGAGACCCAGTAACCAAGACAGCGCCAGATCCGGTGAACATAAGCACTAATTGACGAAATGAAGGACAAAGATGAGGAGAGAGGGACCAAATGCTAATTATTAGTAGCCATTTTCCACAAAAAGAAGCAGTTGCCTTGTAGCCGGGTATGTTCTCACACCGTCGCTCGGGGATCAAGAGGCGGTAGGCTCAGCTATGGCGGTTAGGCATCCACTGCGCCTCAATCGCCTAAGCCAAGCTAAATGATGAGCCAAGCGAGATGTTTCATGAGGGCGGCAGTAGCTAAGCATCTTGATTTCGAAGAGGACGAATTGTGTTCGTTGTTGTGGCGCCTTTGCGTGTCAGCTAAAAGTCGGTGCATGTGCTTCGAGACGGGTGATCCCGCTACTGCTCGAAGGCAGGACACTATCAAGCATCATTGGTGAATGGCGGGAGCTACGCCTGCGAACACCATGGTCAGCAAATATCTGTGGATTCAGCTGTGATAAGCGTGCGTAAGGCTGATGAATGTTGCATTGTTAGCTTGGGGATGGTTCCCCATACACCCTAGCCCCTTATAACCACCCCCCAAAAAAGCAACCATCGCCCCTCTCGCAACCCTCGAGCTTTCCTGCCCTCCGAAACACCCAAGTAATCCAAACGAGCAAGGTCGGTCACGTAACCGGCGTGTCTGGTTGAGATCATTGTATGAATAAGTCAAGGATACATTTTTTAGGAGTGTATTCAATTATGCTTTATTCTGCCTTGTGGTCTTCATCCCAGGCTAACATGACGCCCATGGCTCGTTCATACGTCCACATTGTGACTGCACTTGCTGGCGCTGCTTTGAGCAGACTGACGGTCAACCCGCGATACAAACCCCTCCTCCCCTCATGCGTCCAGATATGCGATACCGTGCT